CATCCATCCCCTATCACTATAATTCTATCATCCATCCATCACTCTATCATTCCATCATACATCCATCACTATAATTTCATCATCCACCCATCACTATCATTTTATCATCCATCCATCACTCTATCATTCCATCATGCATGCATTACGTTTTCATCACTCTATGATTCCATCCATCACTGTATCATTCCATCAACCATCTATTCATCCATCACTATCATTCAACTATCACTCTACTATTCCATCATCCATCCATCCATTCCCTCACTCTATCATTCCATCCATCCCACCCCTATCACTCCATCTATCCATCATCCATCCGTTCCTATCACTGTCTTCCCATCATCCATCCATCACTTTTATCATTCCATCATCTATCCATCAGTATCATTCCATCATCTATCCATCATTCCATCATACATCCATCACTATAATTTCATCATCCACCCATCACTATCATTTCATCATCCATCCATCACTCTATCATTTCATCATGCATGCATTACTTTTTCATCACTCTATGATTCCATCCATCACTGTATCATTCCATCAACCATCTATTCATCCATCACTATCATTCAACTATCACTCTATTATTCCATCATCCACCCATCCCCTATCACTCAATCATTCCATCCATCCAACCCCTATCACTCCTTCTATCCATCCGTTCCTATCACTGTGTCTTCCCATCATCCATCCATCACTTTTATCATTCCATCATCATTCCATCACTCTATCATTCCATCATACATCCATCACTAAAATTTCATCATCCACCCATCACTATCATTTCATCATCCATCCATCACTCTATCATTTCATCATACATCCATTACTTTTTCATCACTATATGATTCCATCCATCACTGTATTATTCTATCAACCATCTATCTATCATCACTGTAATTCATCTATCACTCTATTATTTCATCATCCATCCATCCCCTATCACTCTATCATTCCATCCATCCCTCCCCTATCACTCATCTATCCATTCATCCCTATCACTGTCTTCCCATCATCCATCCATCACTTATCTATCCATCACTATCATTCCATGATCTATCCATCACTTCATCATTCTATCATCCATCGCTCTATCATTCTATAATCCATCCATCCATTCTATAATCCATCCATCCATCCATCTATCGATCACTATCTTTCCAGTATCCATCCATCACTCAATCATTCCATCATTCATCCATCACTCAATCATTCTATTATCCATCTATCACTCTATCATTTCATCATCCATCAGTCACTCTCTTTTCTCCATCCATCCATCATTCTATCATTCCATCCATATATCCATCCACCACTTTAACAATCCATCATCCATCCCCTATCACTCTACCATTCCATCATCCATCCCCTACCCCTCTATCATTCCACCATTCATCCCTTATCACTCTATTATTCTATCCATACATCATTTTATCTCCACCCATTTATCCATCCAGTTCATCCATCTTTAATTTTATTATTCTATCCATCTATCATTCTTTTATTTATTAATTCATCCTTTCATTCATCCATCCATCCATGTTTTGTATAACCTATTCATTTTTCTGTCATTCCATCCATCCATCCATCCATCCATAGTATCACCCATTTATCTTTCTTTTGTTTTATTCATCCATTCATCCATCCTTGTTGTGTATCATCCGTTCATCTCTCTATGTTTTGTATAACCCATTCATCTTTCTATCATTACATTAATCTCTCCTTCATGACACATTCCTTTGTGTCATTCTACTAGCTGAGTTCAGCACAGAAGCATTAATCGTGCACAGTATTGAGTAATTAATTAACAGATCACACAAGACATGTAGAGTAAATGAACTCAGATGAGAGGAGTCAGTTTCTCCTGATGGTTTACATGCTGTCAGATCTGACTGAGACATCAGTTTGATTCATGTCTGCCAGCAGGTGGAACCACGTGTCCCCAGATCTCCATCTAATGTGTTCTCTATTTAATGTTCATCAAGCTTTAAATCCTTTACTCACTGAATAAAAAGTATAGTGTCATTTTATTTGAAAAATGTTCTGTCAGAAAATGCTGGTACATTTCAGATAATAATAATGCCAAGTAAAACATTATAAACTCAATTGTGACATTTAAAAGTGTTATTAAAGTATTAAGAGGGACTTAAATAAATAAATAAATAAATTATATATATATATATATATATATATATATATATATATATATAATATATATATATATATATATATATA